CAGGGGGCAGCTAGGGGTACCTTCAGGTCCCAAGGAGGGGGTGGGTGGCTTGGCCATGTTCCATTGACTATCTTGGATGGGTAATAAGTGCCCCCCTCCCCACCCCATACACAGCCTACATCATAGGGCATTTTGAGCAGATCTGGATCAACTAAAGTAATACCTTTGAAGGTATTTAAAAGTCCTGAGCCTAGTGCCTTGGCATACAGCAGGTAAGGTTTGTTAAATACATTGATTCGACATGTATTGAGCAACTACTGGGTGCCAAGTGCTGTTCTGGGCATTGGATGGAGCAGACAAGAAGCAGCCCCAAATGCTAGCCCTCAAGGGACTTTTGTTCTAAGAGAGGCAGACAAGGTCACCTCCCTCACAGAAGGGTATCTGTCCCTCTCCAGCCCAGAGGCTCTCAAATCTAAGTGTGCATCAGAATCATCTGGAAGGTTTGTTAAATCCAGATTGCCAGGCCCCACCCCAGTTTCTGATCCTATAGGTTTGAAGTGGGGCTCAAGAAGGTGAATTTCTAATAAGCCCCAGCTGACACTGATGTTGCTGTTCGGGGGCCACACTTTAAGAGTCATCATTCTAGTTCCTGACCCTTTTCTCTGTGGGTTTCATGTAGGAAAACTGTTCTTTGTAGCCCTTATTTTACTGTTAATAATTAATTCCACAGAGCCTTTAAAAAAAAAATAAGCCTAATGAGTGAAACTCCAGAGCCTACTTTAAAAACAGAAATCTTTTTAATTAACAAAAAGGAGTCTAAGAAAGTTAGGAAGGCAATGTCTCATTTCTTCTGCATCCATGCAGGAGCACTATTCTGCAAATTAAAACAAGGTTGAAGGATTTGATTCGGTCAGGTGTGTTAAAACAGAGCTTTCTCAAGAATATTGGTCTTACTTTACAGGTGATAAGGCGTGTTGACAATTCATATCCGTTACAGACGTACTGTTTTCTGATAACATAAGCCTGTCTTTGAACAAAGCGGTCTTGTTAAGCTTCCAGGACTTCAGTGCTATTATTCTATGAAAACAAACTCCTCAAGAAACCTGTAATTCTGGTTGGTTGCTTTATCTAATCATCTGTTGCCCTGGTAATGATGTTATAATCGATACTTCATTTATTCCTAAACTCTGTACCTACTTGCTGGTTCCCCTGGGAAGAGGACTGTCGGAACTTTCATCTTCTCCCACACGTTTAGGCAATAAAATGACTGCAGATTTCTTATTTAAACAAAGACTGAGAGTCTTATCTCATGTAATCATTGCAACACTGCCACGATGCATTTGTTTCTTGTCTGTTGTCCTCACTGCAATGCCAGCTCCATAAAGGCAGGGATTTGTGTCTGGTTTGTTAACCGCTGTGTCTGCAGGGCCTGGATGGGCACCAGCAAACAGTAGGTGCTCAATCAACATCTGCCGAATGAGTAAGTAAATGCAATAAACAGTGTTTTCAAGATTCTGAAAAGCGCTCAGAGGAATAATCTGGATTGGAGGTAAAAATGTGATCATCATGGCGGGGAGAAGCAGTGTTTCAAGTGCTGGAACTGGACCAGACAATCTGGAGAGGGCTTGGCTTGGGAGAAGAGGGAAGGGAAGCCCAGGCTAAGCCCTGGGAAATTCCAGCGTTTCACCTTTTGGAGAACTGGGAGAGGCCAGCCCGAGGAGGAAAAAAGACAGACAGGAGAGCTTTCCCCTAAGCCTGGCACAGTCCATCCACAAGCTCTCACCCACTAATTCAGTTTCAGTTATTCTCTCTCGAGATCTCTTTTCTTTTTTACGTATTTACACACACACTTCAGAATTTACAGCTTCTACCATAGCCACATACAAACAAGATCACATACATACTCGAACACACAGCCTCTCTCAGCCACTCTTTGAGGGAGTCATTTGCTGTCATTGGTATCAGCCTTACTGTGGTCTTTCAAGAACAGTTTCCCACACAGTCACGTCATCTAGCCTGTCTCCTTCAGCCAAGGCCACAATGACTCTCACCAGTCAGTTTCGCACATACACACAGTCATGACTTTTGATGTTTCAACTGCTCATTCAGGCCATCATTTCTCATATACACAAATGTTTGGTGATTTATAGCCACCGCTAGTCCCTCCAGAAGTTCCTTGCACACGCATGATCACTCTCTCTCCCACTTCTCCATACTCATGCCCATTTCACACACCTAGAGTCCCTGACTATGCTGAATTTCACTCATGCACAGTGTCTCAGACACTGTCTTAGTCACCTAGTCTCACATTTCTTTGCAAGCAGCTTCCAACATGCCCAGTCTTTGTTCTACAGTCTTTAAAGTCTCTAATTTTAGAGTTTTACACAGATCCTCAGCCTCTCAGACATTTTGTCACAGGTACAGTGTCACAGTCACTTGCCCTCATTCACCCTCTGACATCCTGTAGTCACTAATTCACAACTGCTACCAGGCTCTCTACAAGTCTCACACACAGTCTCTCGCAGCTCATCTTAGTTGTTTACACCATCCAGCCAGAGTATCCTGTACACTCAAACACAAGTACAGCCTCCTCGATTTCTTGCACAAACTGATCACATAGTCTCTCAGTGTCTCATTTGCTCAGTTTCATTTTCTCAGTTTTTCACCATATGTAATCTCTGGTTTACTGTCTCTCATGAAATGTTTCACTCTCACACACTGCTCAGTCAGTTTTCTCTCATGTGGCGCTGACTTCCTTCTTTTTACTCTTCGCTTCTCACTCACAGTGAAGTGGTCTCTAGCACACTTCCACTCTTCCACTCACTCTGTCTCACCATCATCTTCTCTTATACTTCCATGGTCCCTGAACCTGTTGGCTAGATTGGAGTAGTAACTGCATCCATCGGCCACTAGGCTCAGGAACACACACGCACGCACGCACACACACACACACACACACACTCAGGAACATGAACACACACACACACTCACTACAGCCTCTCATGTCCTCCCAGCTGCAGACACTTTTCCTGTTTCTCATGCAGTCTTTGCTAGTTTAATCTCACAGAAAGTTTTCATACATACAATCATGCATTCTGGTATCTTAAATCTCAGGCACCCATCTGACCTCACAGCCATTTTCTCTCATACAATCAACCTCTCAAACATACGCTCTCATTACTTTAGTTGATCCAACAGCCTTGCATGAATGGTTTCACACACAAGCCATCTCCTAAACACTGAGTCACCTGCTTACTTACAATGAAGTTTCTCACCTATGCACTGTCCCTGACAATCTCCATTGCACTTTCATGCCCATACAGGCTCTCACATGTTGTTTTGGTTACTCTCCCTTGCTCACCCTCAGCTTGTCCAACAGTGACTGATGTGCAGTCCCCACTTCCTTCTCATAAACATTGTTACACAAAAAGCACCAGTTTCTGGCATAGTATCTTAATCACTCATTCAGTCTTATTGTGTTTTTTTTTTGCCACCCAGCCACAATCTCTCACATAGACACAATGTCAAGTTTGTGGTTACAACTTCCACTCTCTCAATACAGGGTTTCACAAATGTACATGTGCAATCACAGCTTGCCAGAATTTTCAGGCTACCAATCTGCAGTCTTTACTGTTTCTGACACACACCATCATGCTCTCTCTCCCATGATCAATATCACACCCTTATGGCCTTTCACACAGAGTCATGCCTTTGCACACAGTTATTCCCAACAGCTTCAGGGAAAAAAATGCTACCAGCCTCCAGCATCACCTTTAAAAATATATATTTACAGGAACAATTCCCCATTCTCTGGGACTCTTAGAAAAAAAATCCATTTGGGGGGGAAGTAAAACAAACAGTGGAGACAGGTGTAGCACCGTCCCCCAAATCACCAAGACCCAGGTCCCTAGGCCCGGGCTGGGACGGTGCTGATGGGAGGTGAACCCAGGAGTCCTCTGAACTCACACTTCTCCAGGAATTCAGACTGAGCAGGCTTTATGTCCCTCATTCCTCCCTCCCAACTCCAGGGACACAAAGGGTCCTTTGTACCCGCCCGCAGGAAAATTAGGGGGCTGGGAGGGAGTTGAAAATACACATTTGGTATCAAAAATAAACACTTGGGGGTGGCAGGGAGATCCCCCAAATCCCTTCCTTCCCACCCACCCCATCTCAGATATAGGAAGAGATACTTCCCTCTCCCTTATTGAAAAGCCCTGTTTAAAAATAGATTATACTATCAAAATGGCAGGGGGTGGGGGATAGGGAGACCTGGAGTACTGGCTGGAGGGGCCCCCCAGACGGGGACCACTCCCCAAAAATCCCTCCATTGGGAGGTAACAGGCAGGACCCCAGGAGTTTGGCAGACACAGGAATGGCTTCTCAGGGGGAGAACAAAAGGGGCATTCCTCCCTGGCCGAAAAGGTGGTTGAGAAAGGACAACCTGTCTGAGAGAAAGGCTGGGGAGGTGGAAATTCCCATCTCCAAGGGTGTGAGTCTTCCTTGGCCAAGACTCCCAAACCATTAAATGGCACAAATTCTTCCTGGACCCTTGGGGAGGGCCGGGAATAATAAACTACAACAAGCTAGCTCTTCTACCCATACCCCAAAGTGAAGACAGGGCTCCCTCAGCTCCCCAAGGGCAGGCTGAGAAATAAATAAAGAAAGGCCTGTCTCAAGCCAGACCCCGATTGTCTCATCTTGGGGAAAAAATGTGGAACACGGGTGAGATGCCCTTGCCACCCCCTCCAAAAGAGTTGGGCCAGGCTCCTCCCAGTGGCCTTCAAAAAATAAATAAATAAACCGTCCCCACCACTGCAGTAGGAGACGTGTAAGAGCGGCCACTGGGGGACTGATCAAGAAGAGAGAAGTTGTATGTTTTTTTGTGGAAGGGTTATTGAGAGATCCTTCCTCCTAAGAATCCCTACCCAACCACAACTGGAGCATGAGTCTGTCAGCTGAACTACGTTTCTCCTTGAGACAGCTGGCTGGAGAGAAGTTCAGGGCATGGAAGGAGTAACCCCAGAAAGGGGTGGTGGTGGTTGTGGTGGTGGTGGTGATAGTCATGGCTTCTGGGGCCCTGGGGAGAGCACCACGGGGGTTGAGAGGCCATCCACGCTGATGGAAGGGATGTGCACCTGGGCGCTGCCACTGGATGGAAACTGAGGACAGAAATAGGGAGAGGTCATGGATGGGGACCATGCTAGGGTCACTCACCCTTTCTGAGATGGGGGGAGCTGATCCTACCTGGAAGGAGAGCTTGGCCGGGCTACGGGGTGCAATGGGACTCAGGGTGCTCCAGAAGTGAATGCTGGGGGGCAGCGAGCTGGGCGTCAGCAGCACCGGGGTCTGTGGGGAAGGGGTGGTCAGAGCACAAGTGAGCAAGAGGGCAGCTGTGGGAAAACCAAAGGAACTTGGTTCTGGCCCCAACTGATTTCCCACTCATACTTCCAAGATCACTCCTCAAAAGTGCACAGGCCTAGACCATAACCACTGAGGCCATGTCTGTGACAGCTCTCTTGACTTCACACAGACAACTCCTTCTAACTCCGGAGGGCCCACCTCAGCCTCACTAGGCAAAACTATCTCCAAGAACCCACCCACATGCTATTTTCAAACCTTACCATCCCAGTAGCTCAGGATCAACTTCCAACTCTTATCCCCTACCTGCATACCTCACAGGAAACCCACTGAGAAATTCCCAGACCCAAGAGCCCCACTCAGGTTCCTTAAGCCATGCCTCAACCCAGAAACAGTTCCTGCAGAAAGCCTCTCAGCCCCTGCCCACAAAAACTCCCCAGACTGCCCTTTGGGCACCTGATCCTTGGCATCACAGACTCCTCCGTCCAGTAGCAATCAAGCCTGTCCCTCCACTCAGCCAATCCCACTCGAAGGCTCCACCTTCCCACTCTTTCAGAGGTAATAGCACTGGCGGTAAGTCTAACTCTTCCCTCCCCCACCCCGCCCTAATGCCATTTGTTCCAGGTGCCAGTCCCGCCCCTTTGAAAGTTCTCACCAATGTGTGCGTAGGTAGCAGGGAAGGCGTCAGCGCTGGACCTGGCGCCTGTAGACCCGAACCAGTTCCCGATCCTGGAGTCCGTTCGGGTCCTGGTCCACCCAGCAGGCTCGGGCTGAGTGGAAGCTCCAGGTCTCGGGGCTTCCGACCCTTCTGAGGCTGGGCGATCTCCGTGCTGGGTGTTGTGGAAGCCGTGAGGCCGCCCACCTGCGCCGCAGTTTCCATTACGACGGCGGACAGCCGGGCTGGCACGCCCTCTGCTGGAGGGACTTCTGGGTCGACTTTGGGCTCAAAGGGCTCGGCCTTGACGGCTTCCAGCACAAACCCCGCCTCCCCACTGGCTGCAGCTTCTAACTCTTCCTTGGGCTCTTCCACTTTGACTTCTGGGGGCAGTGGCCGGCCCAACCCAGGCTCCATATTTGGCTCTTCGGATTTAAGGTTTGGGGCCTCGGGTGGGGTCAGGATGACCTGGGAGAGGTACGAGTGCAGAGGGCATGCCTGAGGATTGCTGGGGTAGTGAAGCCAGTTAGTTCCCATGGAAAGTGGGACCTGAGAGTAGGGGCAGGTCCTTTAACAAGATGTGGTACTTTGCCAAAAAAATGGGGCTTCTTCTGGTCCTCCTATCTGGAATGCCTTCAGGGGTGGGACTCCAGGAGATACTGCCCCATTTATAAAAGCAGTGTTTCTCAAAAATGTGCTTTATGGACCAGCAGCATACACCTCATCTGGAAATTTGTTTAAAAATTAGACTCTTGGGCCCATCCCCAGACTCACGTAAAGAAAAACTCTGGGGGTGTCCCCCAGCACCTCTGGCTTAAAAAGCCCTCCAAGTGCTTTCTGATGAGTGCTAAAAGTGTGAGAGCCAGTGCATTAAGCAAATACATTCAAGGGCACCTACTACATATTGGGTGTACTGCTAATTGTAGTGCACTCAATTTCCTTCTTCTTTCCCAGGGTTTGAATAGTTTCCCTCCCCATCTCTTTCTCCAAGGGGACTTATGCATCCCTCCTTCCACTATATCATCTTTAACTGGACATTTATGTCCCTCCTCCTCCCAGTCCCTCTCTATATTTGGGAACTGTACATCCCTCCTCTTGCTGAAATTCCATATTCCAGTCCTTACCTGCAGAGGCAGGCCAGCCTCCTCAGCCTCCAGGCAGGCCTCCAAGGGGTTTGGACTGGTGCTCCTGCTCCCCGAGGGAGGCACTGCTACTCCTGCAGGGCCGGTGCTGGGGAGCACTGTGGAAGGCCGAGGATGAGAGGGCGGTTGTGGCTGCAGGGACTGGATGGTGAAGGTGGAATAGAGGCCTGAGCGCATGTAATCATTTCGGCTGCTGCGCGCCAAGCTGCCTGGGCCTGCCATTCCTGCACCCTTGAGTGTGCCTGGCTTCCCAGAGGCAGTGTCCCCGGGGATGGCGTGTACAGCTGTGGCACCTGCATTTGCCAGAGTGGAGGTGACAGACACCTCAGGCTGAGGCGGGCAGTCCTCAGTGGAGCACCCTGCGACCTCAGGGTAAGACACAAACTTGTAGACAAACTTCTGGCCGCTCACTTTGCGGATGATGTTCTGGTAAGGGGGAAGAGACAGGATAGAGTGTCTTAGAAGAAAGGGCCAGAGAGAGAGTGGATGGTGAGGAGTGTCTCCTGGTGTTTTTTTTCCTTCATGCCTCTCCTGTCCTTTTACATATACACTGTTCCGGCTCAGTGTCTCTGTCCCCATAGGGTCCTCTTCCAAGCTTCTTTCACATCTCACTCATCTCTCAATCTGGGGCCTCCTCCCTTCTCCCCTACTTTCTACTACTCTCCCCCAACACGATTTCCCTGTCTTCTCCCCCAGCTTCTTCCCCTTCTGTCTCGCCACTGCATAATCTTTCCTTTAGTCTACTGCCCTTATCCATTCCACATCTCAGTCCCACCCATCCCCCTCCAAGTCTCCCTCTGTCATACTCTCCTCATCTCCTTCTGTTCGATTCCCCCACTCCACCTTAGATACACATGGCCACGCCCACTGGCTCCTCTCCATACTGGGGCCGAACTAGGGAAGTAGATCTAGGAACAGGCTTTCCTCTTGGCTCCTGGAACCAGGGGTGTCTGTGGGCTAACAGGGCCAGGCCCTAGGTGTGGCTGCCAGGACACAGTTTTGGAGTCTAGCTAATGCAGTATGACAGGGAAATGAAGTCACTGACATAAATGTTGGAAGAGACTAAATGAATGTGGAGGAATACTGTGATGAATTGTCAATAAATATGAATTATTAGAGGATGATTTAAAGCTCTTGACACAGCCGTGAAACAGGGCAAAGTCATCAGGGTGGACAGGATAAGGAGCCTTATTCTTAATACCACTGGGGAGGTTTAAGCCAAGACAATTGGAAAATGAAGTAACTGATAGCAACTAATGAGAATTTAAAATACTGGTATAAATACTGTGGGAATCTTAAGGCTGCCTTGGGTGGGTCACAGAGCATGTCTGGGGTATTTCAGGATAGCCCTGGAAGGTCTCAGGGATGTTCTGGTGGTTTCAGTGCACAGAGTGAGGCAGACTCATTATGACTAGTGTTCTGAAGGTTTGAGATAAAGGATTAAAATATAAAAATGAAATAAATGCTGTAAGTGAGTAAGGGTGGGCAGCAGCACAGGTCCAGGGCTGTTCTGGGGGACAAGAGGCATCTGGGGGCATTAGGGCACCCTGAGGACATCTTCATGTTGGCCATGAATGTCACAGGGTGGGTTTGTGTTTCTCAGAAAAGGAATGAAAAGGGAGACTCATTAATATTGCTTGAGAAGTTTCAGTGTAGGGTGAGAGGAAAGGGAATTGGATGAAGGCAGTCAAAAGACACAAACTTCCAGTTATAAGAAAAGTAAGTACTAGGGATGTAATGCACAACATGATAAATATGATTCACACTGCTGTATGTTATATATGAAAGTTAAGAGTGTAAAGAATTTTTTTTCCTTTTTATTTTGTATCTGTATGAGCTGGTGGATGTTCACTAAACTTATTGTGATAATTATTTCTTGATGTATACAAGTCAAATCTTTATGCTATACGCCTTAAACTTATACAGTAATGTGTGTCAATCATATTGCAATAAAACTGGAAGAAGAAAAACATTGTTTTGGAAGTTTCAGGTAAAGAAATAAGAAAATGAAATAAATGGTATAAATGTGAGGGGGGATATCTAGCACTGGTTTGGCAGTCTAAAAGGAAAAGATAAGGAAAATTTACAATTTTAGCTACAGGAATAAGATGATAAAATAAAATAATTGATATAAATTATCAATTTATATTGAGAGGACTAGCATTGCTCTGGGAATACAAGGGGATGGGGTATGGAGCAGACATTATACATGTTGTTTTGGAGGTCTTAGCTAACGAAATAAGATATGAAAATAATTGATAAAAATGTTGAGGGTCTTGGAGGATGAGATAGGCAAAGGTTAGGATAATGCTATCATGGAGGCTTTGATTCTAAGAATAAGGCTATTCTAGAATTCTTATTCTGGGATAAGAGCAGACCATGAAATACCTGGGGGAGCCCAGGACTGTTCCAGGATGAGGAAGACTCATTATTAATAGTTATCAAAAGTTTTGGTCAGAGGAATAATAAGGCAAGAAAATGAAATGTGTGGGGTGTGGTTGGGACAGCAGGACTCTGGGGATCTCAGAAAGAATGGAGTGAGTAGGTGTCAGTATTAATGTTGCTTTGAAGGTTTTAGCCAAAGTTAAAATATAAGAAAATAAAATAACTGGAATAAAAGCTTGGGGGTCCCAACATTGGTCTGAGAGTACCAGAGGACAGGGTTAGAAATGGTAAATTTTAATACTGTTTTCAAAATTAGAGCTAGATCAAATTAAGACAAGAAAATGAAATAACTGGTATAAATGTTTGGTGGTGTGGGGGTGGGGGGAGTGGGTTCCCAGCCCTGGTCTCAAACAACTTACCTTGTCATAATAGTACCGCAAGGCCCGGCTGAGCTTGTCATAATTCATGTTGGTCTTATTCTTGCGCAGCCCCCACAGCCGGGCCACCTCCTCAGCGTCCACCAGCTTGAACTCACCGCCATCCCGTGAGGTCCAGGAGATGATGTGGCCATTGCCTTGCTCTCTCAGCAGCTGCAGCAGAAACTGCCACAGCGTCACAGAAGGGTCCATCGCTGGGGAAGTATTCACGCCATCCCAGGGGTACCTGGAGGGCAGACAGCTCAGAGCTGAGAGGCTGTGAATACATAAAGGGGAAGAGGTCAGCAGGAGAAAGACTCCTTTCTTTCCACCTTGCCTCCACCTCTGTCCTCAGCCGCCACCATCATTCCCTGAGCACCCTCAGCCTGGTTTTGGATGACGGAGGGATGGGATGAGAATTTTGGAAATGATAGGATAGTGTGAATGCATTCTGCCTGTGGGACAAATGTGAACCTCTGGGGGCCAAAGGGCAGACTGTGCTAGGCAGAATAATGCCCCCCACACAAAGATGTCCACATTCTAATTTCTGGAACCTGTGAATATGTTACATGGCAAAAGGAACTTTGCAGATGGATTTAAGGTTATGGACCTTAAGCTAGAGAGATGTTTGGGTGACCTCAATCTGATCACATGAAGCTTCCAGAAAGGAAAGTAGCCCTGCTAACACCTGGATTTTATCTTGGTGAGACCTGTGCTGACCTTCTGACCTCCAGAACTCTTAAGAGAATAATTTGTGTTGTTTGAAGCAGTTAAACACAAGCTGGAATCAAGATTGCTGGGAGGAATATCAATAACCTCAGATATGCAGATGACACCACCCTTATGGCAGAAAGTGAAGAACTAAAGAGCCTCTTGATGAAAGTAAAAAGGAGAGTGAAAATGCTGTCTTAAAACTCAACATTCAGAAAACTAAGATCATGGCATCTGGTCCCATCACTTCATGGCAAATAGATGGGGAAACAGTGGAAACAGTGTCAGACTTTATTTTGGGGGGTTCCAAAATCACTGCAGATGGTAACTGCAGCCATGAAATTAAAAGATGCTTGCTCCTTGGAAGAAAAGTTATGACAAACCTAGACAGCATATTAAAAAGCAGAGACATTACTTTGCCAACAAAGGTCCATCTAGTCAAAGCTATGGTTTTTCCAGTAGTCATGTGCGGATGTGAGAGTTGGACTATAAAGAAAGCTGAGAGCCGAAAAATTGATGCTTTTGAACTGTGGTGTTGGAGAAGACTCTTCAGAGTCCCCTGGACAGCAAGGAGATCCAACCAGTCCATCCTAAAGGAAACTTGTCCTGAATATTCATTGGAAGGGACTGATGCTGAAGCTGAAACTCCAATACTTTGGCCACCTGATGGGAAGAACTGACTCATTTGAAAAGACCCTGATGCTGGGAAAGATTGAAGTTGGGAGGAGAAGGGGATGACAGAGGATGAGATGGCTGGATGGCATCACCAATTCAATGGACATGAGTTTGAGTAAACTCTGGGAGTTGGTGATGGACAGGGAGGCCTGGTGTGCTGCAGTCCATGGAGTTGCAAAGAGTTGGACACAACTGAGTGACTGAACTGAACTGAAAGCAGTTAAAAGTTTGTGATAATCTGTTATAGCATGACTAGAAAACCAGAATAATGTCCCTCACCTGAACATTTTCATTTGCACCTTCCACCACATCAAATACCAAGTTTCCCAGGAGGTTCCCTCGGTCAGCTTCTCATAAAGGCTGTTCACTCCATGCTGGGTTCCCTTCCTCTGCTTTCAAGTCTTCTCCATCATTCAAGTCTCAGCCCCAAGGAGCCTTGACTTTATGAAAATTCCTGACACTGAAATGTCTGCTCTCTTCTGTCTATCCCATGCTCCTCTGACCTATTCCTTTCCTTCTGGCTCTCCTTCTTGACAGCAGCAATAATGAATATCTACTGAGTGCTAAATATGTGCCAGGCATTGTACCAATTAGAGGCAATATGGCCTACTGGACAATCACCCAGGCTCCAGAGCCAGACTGCCAGGGCTGGAATCCTCATTCTGATACTTATTAGCAGTGTGACCCTGGGCGTGTTCTTTAACCTCTTTGTGTCTCATTTTTTCCATCTCTAAAATAGATGGTAATACCACCTAGCTCACAGGGTTATTGTACAGATTAAATATACTATGCCTGAGGTATGATAAGCTCTTACAAAATATCCATTTCTAATTTGTTCCTAATTCCTTATCCACTATACAAAATATCCATTTCTAATTTGTTTTTTACTCTGTATCTGCTACTCTAAGACCTGATTTGAAACAAAGTAAGGCCTTTTGTGGTCTTTATGATCTTCACCTAAGACCTGATTTGAAACAAAGTAAGGCCTTTTGTGGTCTTTATGATCTTCACTTGGTGTGATTTTTCATACATCTTGCTACAGAAATCTGAATGTAGCTGATTACAGAGCCCACTAAGAGTATTATGTAACATCTTGTATGTGTACCTTGTTACTTTTCTAAAATCTGAAAAATTCAAAATTGTGAAACACATCTGGCCCCAAGGGTTTTAGATAAGGGCATGTAGACCTGGATTGCTATTTTTACAGCTATTGACTCATTTCTCTCTCATCACAATGTTGGGAAATAGGTACTCTTATTATCTTTAATTTATAAAGGAGGAAGCTGAGGCACAAAATGTCTAAATGACATTTACATACCACACAGCTCTAAGTGGCAGAGTCAAGATTTGGACCCAGGCAGCCAAGTTCCAGTTGTCTGAGCTTTTCAACCATTAGACTAAACTGCCCCTCATACTGACCACTCCCTCAGCATGTCATGCACAGAACAGGACCTTCCCTGGCCTTCTCCCCCCAACCCATAACTGCTCCTTTTGCTGAGTGTGAGTTGGAAATAAACATGAGCTTCCTAATCCTTAAGGAAAGAGTTTTCGTCAATCACCCAGCTGGGACTGCTGGGTTAAGAAAGAACTTCTATTATTTATAGCTTTGAGTCTTTAATCTGTAATGAAATACAGTCTGATCCTCTTATGTCTGAGCTGTTTCAAAGTTCATTCGGCAGACACAATTTTAGGCAATTATGTAAGTCACAAGGCCATGAAGTATCCAGATCACAGTCCCATCATCAGACACCTTGCTGGGTTTATTTGTAAGGCCTGTTTGTTTCAGAGGCACAGAGTCCACTGTGACTCCTGGTGGTGACAACAGGCAATTTTACCAGTTCCCCTTTCAGCAGCCACAGAATCTATCACTTAAGGTGAAACCTGACAGTTGGCTTCAAGCCTCAGCAGCACACGGGGTTTTTATTTTGTTTATTATCACATCTCTCACATGACCCCTAACAAGAATTCTCGTCATATGCCTCTCTCAGATGCATTTACTTCTCTTTATTTCATTCATTTAGCAAGCATTTATGGAGGGCCTGCTGTGGGCCGGGTGCTGGGGAGACAGCAGTGGATACAACAAAAATCCCTGCTCTGGCATAACTTATGTTTTAGTGGGGAAGACACAAGAAGCAAGATAAACAAGAATTCTTCAGATGGTGATAAGAGCTCTGGAAAAAAACAAAGAAGCAGGGGAGAAGTTATTTTCTGAAAATGTAGTCACTGTGGAGATGATATTTGAGCAAAGACCAAAGAGAGGTGAAGGTGTCAGGTTTGTGACAACCTGGAAAGCAGTCATCCAGGCAGAGGAAATAGCTAGGGTGAAAGACCCTGAGGCTGGAGAGCCTGGCAGGTCAGGCGAAGGGAAAGGAGTCTGGCACAGTCCAAGAGAAAACAGTGAGGGTAAAGTAACAACAGTAGGAACTGAGAACAGAGGGGCAATGGAGGCCAGACTGTGTGAGGCTCTTTTAGACCAGGAAGGGCTTTGACTTGACTGAATGAGATAGGAGCCATGAGATGGCTGTGAGCAGAGGAGTGACAGGCTGTGACTTGGATTTTAACAGAATTCCTCAGGCTGTTGTGAGGAGAACCAGCTGTAGGGGCTGAAGAGGCTACTGCAATAGTCCATGTAAGAGATGGTGGTGTTAGCAGTGGAACTGGTGAGAAGCAGCTGAGTTCTGGATAAAACCTGAAGACAGAACGAATGGAATTTGTTGACAGATAGGATTGGGGGTGGGGTGGGGTGAGATGTGATTCTAGGTTTGTGGCCTGATCACCTGAGATAGGAGCCCTGCAGGAGAGCAGGTTTTGAAGGGAGAACATGATTTGGAGATGGTCAGTCTCAGAGGCCTGTGAGACACCTACATGTATGCCAGGAATAATATTACCAATTTAAAAAACAGGAACCAGCCACATAACCCTTACCATTTTAGTCATTTAACTCATTCAATCCTCAAACCAACACCATGGGTGGGCACTCTTATTATCCTCCCATGTTCCAGGTGAGGAAATGGAGGCACAGAGAAGTAATATAACTTGCCTAAGGTCACACAGAGACAGGGATCAAACTCTGGCAGTTTGGCTCTAGGCAGTGATCCTAGCCACTTTGTTCCACCAGCTCTCCATAGAGTGAAACTGAAGGGTAAGATCCTAGAGGGGGACAGGGATGCTATTTTACACAGGGTCTTCAGGGAGGGCTTCCCTGAGGAAGTGACATGAGTAGAAATCTGAAGGAGGGGAGGTAGCAAGCCATACTGACATCTGTGGGAAGGGTCTTTCAAGCACAGGGAACAGAATGTACAAAGGTTCTGAGGTGGACCAAAGCTTGGCATGCTATATCGTGGACACTCTGAGTTCATCCAGTTCCCATTTCGAAGGATATGCATGTGCTGATCTCCCTGCCAGGAGTGTCCTTCCCTCTTCTCAACACACGATGAACTGTTTATTACACACATCATCAAGTTCTAGGATTTCCCAAGCAGAATTAATTTTTCCTCTGTGTGCCAAATAACCTGTCTACCCTAGCAGATCTGTTCCTCTCTGGCTTGCCAGCCTTATACTCCTCTGTCCCGTTCTAGCTCTGTGACCATGAGCAAGTTACTCAACCTCTCTGGGTCTGTTCCCATACCTATAAAATGGGGGATATTCCACTCTCAAAGTTAAGTATCTTCAAGATGCACCTACTCTGAAAGGGTTCTGGGAGGATTAAATGTCAGTATATGCCAACATCTGCTGGATCATCAAAAAAGCAAGAGAGTTCCAGAAAAACATCTATTTCTGTTTACTGACTATGTCAAAGCCTTCGACTGTGTGGATCACAATAAACTATGGAAAATTCTGAAAGAGATGGGAATACCAGACCACCTGACCTGCCTCTTGAGAAACCTGTATGCAGGTAAGGAAGTAACAGTTAGAACTGGACATGGAACAACTGACTGGTTCCAAATAGGAAAGGGAGTACATCAAGGCTGTATATTGTCGCCCTGCTTATTTAACTTATATGCAGAGTACATCATGAGAAATGCTGGACTGGATGAAGCACAAGCTGGAATCAAGACTGCTGGGAGAAATATCAATAACCTCAGATATGCAGATGACACCACCCTTATAGCAGAAAGTGAAGAAGAACTAAAGAGCCTCTTGATGAAAGTGAAAGAGGAGAGTGAAAAAGTTGGCTTAAAGCTCAACATTCAGAAAACTAAGATCATGGCATCCGGTCCCAATACTTCATGGCAAATAGATGGGGAAACAGTGGCTCACTTTATTTTTTTTGGCTCCAAAATCACTGCAGATGGTGATTGCAGCCATGGAATTAAAAGATGCTTACTCCTTGGAAAGAAAGTTATGACCAACCTAGACAGCATATTAAAAAGCAGAGACATTATTTTGTCAACAAAGGTCCGTCTAGTCAAGGCTATGGTTTTTCCGGTAGTCACGTATGGATGTGAGACTATAAAGAAAGCTGAGCGCCGAAGAATTGATGCTTCTGAACTGCAGTGTTGGAGAAGACTCTTGAGAGTCCCTTGGACTGCAAGGAGATCCAACCAGTCCATCCTAAAGGAGATCAATCCTGAGTGTTCATTGGAAGGACTGATATTGAAGCTGAAACTCCAATACTTTGGCCACCTGATGCGAAGAGCTGATTCATTTGAAAAGACCCTGATACTGGGAAAGACAGGGCAGGAGGAGAAGGGGACGACAGAGGATGAGATGGTTGGATGACATCACCCACTCAATGGACATGAGTTTGGGTAAACTCTGGGAGTTGGTGATGGACAGGGAGGCCTGGCGTGCTGCAGTTCATGGGGTCACAAAGAGTTGGACGCGACTGAGCAACTGAACTGAACTGACATGTAAAGGACTTTTGCTCCAGCCACACTGGCCTCCTTCATGGCCCTTGAACACACCAGGGACAATCCCTCCTCAGGGCCTTTGCACTGGCGGTTCCTTCTGCGTGGTACACTCTTCCCTTACACATCATGGGTCCCTTCCTGAACTCCTTCAAGCCTTAATTCAAGCATCACCTTCTAAATGAGGCCTGCCCTGTGCCTAAGATTTCAACCACCCTGATACTCTATTCCTACCTTCTCTTCTTCACTTTTCCTCCTTAGCACTTGTCTAACATGCTAATTAGACTGACTTATTTATATAGTTTGCACTCTTAGTAAATGTCTGCTCCACAACAGGCAGGAATTTCTGCTTGTTTTGTTCCCTTTCATATCCCCAGCACCTAGAAGAATGTCTGGTGCTCAGTAAGTGTTTGTTGAATAAACAGTCCTGACTAACTAGTCTCTTAACTCACTCTCTTATGCCCTCTTCATCTCCATCTGTCCCTAACTCTGATTTGTCTGAAACTGTTATTTTCTCCATTCATTTGTGCAATAAATTCTTATCAAGCACTAGATAAGAATTTTAGGTGTTGGGGACCTAGCGGTGAATAAGCAGACAGACAGAGTTCCTCATGGGACTCCCATTTTAACGGGGAAAGACAATAAGATAAACTGTAAACAGAGTGCCTGACAGTGATAAAGGGCAAAAACACAAATAAAGCAGAAAAGGGGCCCAAGTCCTGCTAGGTATGCAGGTACAGATGGTCGGGGACAGGTGACATTTGAACAGAGTCCTGAAAGGAATCTCACAGAGATGGGGGTAGACTGTTCCAGGCAGAAAAAATAGCCAAGGCAAAGACCCCAAGGCTGGATTGCTCCTGGTGTTTCTGAGGATGAGTGAGGTCACTGTGGCTGGAACAGAGTTAGGGGTAGGTAGGAGGTAAGGCCTGAGAAGTTACTTGTTTTATTAATTCACAAGGCAACCCATTCCAGTATTCTTGCCTGGAAAATTCCATGGACAGTGGAGCCTGGCAGGCTACAGTGCATGGGGTCACAAGAGAATAGGACATAAACTGCACACACACATTCTTTATTTACCCTGGAGGGGATTTTAGATCTGATTCCCCCACTTTACCAATGAGGAAACATGAGAAGAGAGAAAGTGGTAAATCACTAAGGTCACATAGCTGCTGGGATCGGGTGTGGATATGTCCTGAGACAAGGTGTGGAATGGAGACAGCTAAGGAAACAGCAAAAACCAAAGCGTGGAGATGGGAACTAATTTGGTTTTTAAGGAATGGGGCCTCAAGTGGGGTGAGATGAAGTGAGAGAGGAAAGTGTAAAAAATTATCCTATGTTCTGAGGAGCAATCTAATCTGATACCTACTGGGTAACCTTTGAGTAAGGTATCCCTATGCTGAACTTCCCTCAGTACCTATCTTAAAGGTTGGATTAAATGAGCTCATTAACATAAAGCATTTTGCCTGGTACAAGGAGGTGCTCAATAAATGTTAGCTTCTATTGGCAATATCACTATCACTAATGTATTCATTTACTGGAGTGAGGTAGGATGTCTCAGTGGTTAAAAGTGTGTATGAGAAAGTGTGTTCTAGGGTAAAAAAGACCTAAGTTCAACAAGCACACAGGCTGATCCACGATTAAGAAGGAGGGAAGGTGGCAGGGAACGCCATGTACTGATCCACCACCACGAAAGGAGGGGGAAAATAAAAGCACACAGGTTGACCCTCCTGGAGGAATTACAAGCCACTGGGCTCAGAGGATGTTATACCAAAAGGGAAGGGTGTGAACGCAAGCACATGGGTGGCAGGAAGGCCAATGAACAGATCCACAGTAAAGGTGTGTATGTGTGTAAAGGCTCACCTTATTTACTAGGAGTAAGGAGATAAGCACACTGACTCCTGCACAATAGTGGAGAGTCATCCCACAGACTGATTAAAAGGAAAGGGGGACAAGGCCATGAACTGGGCTACTGAAAATGGGGAGATAAAACGCAATAAACTGATCCACTCTTAAGAAGGAAGAAGCCCAAGGACTGGAGTGACAGTCTACAAAAAAGGGAGAATAGGGCAACAGGCTAATAAGCAGGGGCACGTGAAAAACAAGCATGTAGACGGATCCACTGTAAAGTGGTGTGTGTGTGATAAAAGCCATGAACTGATGCACTGGAGGTAGGAATCAAGTTCACAGATTAACTCACTGTTTGGGGGGGGGTGGGTACAACGCTACGGATTAACTAGCTACAGGAACAGTAAGGGTGGAAAAACAAGGCCACAGAAGGGGCCCCTGAAAGTTGAGGACAGGAGAAATACAAACACTCAGATGCACCTACGGTCAAGGAGTTGGACACTGCCGGAAACTGGTTCCCTATAAGCGTGGGGCGGGGGGGCAAGACCACAGACCAGTTTACTGTAAGGTGGGGTGGGGAAAAACACAAACACGGAGACTGATCCATTATAAAACAGAAAGGGGGGTTAGGCCACGGTCAGATCCACTACATGGGGCGATGGGAGGGGACAATGCCACAGGCAAGTCCACCAGCCGTAGTGGCGGCGGTGGGGAGCCGAGCACCAGCAGGGCTTGGGCCAAGCCACATCTCCCCCGCCCCCTCCCGCGGGGGCGGGAAGGATACTTGGGGTCATGGACCCGGCCCTCCAACCTCCAGGCCCTGGACTCACCTGTGCGTAGAGCAGCGGCGGTGTTGGCAGCTCCGGGGGGCGGGGGCTCCATGCGCTGCCCCACCGCCCCCCAGGCCCGGGCTAAGAGGCGGCGGCGGCGGCGACGACGGTGGCGGCGGCGGCAGCACCTAGAAGCCGCCCCTGCGTTTCTTCACCGCTCACGTGGGCCCGTGAAGGAGGAGCCGAGCGTCCTGCCGCTCGCTGATTGGCCAAAGTACCGTGGATCGACCGCGCGGCTTCCAGGGTTGGGCGGGCGGGCACTGCTCCACAGACCTATGCTGTGATTGGCCCGAGGGGAACTGATGGAACGCGGATGGCCGCCTGGGTTCTGAAGAGGAGAGCTCGGCCCTGCGGTGCTTCACGCTGATTGGTTCAAGACAGACTGATAGGCTGGGGGCAATTGACAAGGTTTTGGGGGCCCCTGCCTCGCACGGATTGGCCTATATGGGATTGATGGAAGATATCCAGCCTCCGAGGATACGGGTGATTAGGTCCTGCTTTCTGCTGATTGGCTGCCGAGCGACTTCTAGACGGCTGCCAAAACCCCAACGGGGTGGTGCCGAACTCCACGCAGCTCAGCGGAAGCAAGACTTGTATAGAAGTACACAGGCATACCAGCCCGCAGGGAGGAGGTCTGGATACTGCGTAGGCGGGCAGGGTAACTGTGTAATGATTGGCTGGAAAAGACGAATTTAGAACGGAGCAGCTGCCAGACTTACGAAAGTGTATGCTGAGTGGCGGAAACTAAATACCTACGGGGGCGGGGTCGAGCTGCAATCAGTTAAAAACAGGCGGAACCTGGCTTTGCATGGATTGGCGGAAGCTGGACTCAACCTAGAATAGAGACCAGACCAGGGAAGGCGGGATCAGCCCTACACCCATTGCTGGAAGCTGGAACTGCTTAGCGGCTGGGGCAAGGCCAAGGTTTGAGCCTAGATGGACGTGAGTGTAATTTAAGGTACCTGAGGAATAATTGGGGTGTTGGGAGAAAGGTAAACCTTCTGGTCAGGAGTGAAAGGCTGAATTGCTTTGGGGAACAAACCTCCACCATGAATCGGCCCATTCTCTGGTGATTCAGAGTACTGTACATGAAAAGAAATGGAAGGGTCAGGTGGGGGCCCAGGTTGCCAAGGCAACGGTAGAGAGGGCACAGAAGTCAAATGGCAGGATTTCAGTGGTGCATTAATGGTCCCACACAGACCGGATCTCTGGGCCTCTTAGTACTTTGTGCTTTAGAAACAGGGCACTTTGGCAAACAGTAGGGGTTAAGGGGGGAAAGAAGGGCCATGTGACTCAAAGACATTCAGGCTCTTTAATGTCAGGGGAGGTAGGAAGAAGTCAGTGCTGAGTCTCTGGGAAATTCTGCAGACCTTGTAGCTCTCTAAGCCCCTGAAAAAGACAACATAAGAGGCTGAACAGAGACTGGGTCCAGGCCCCATCCCAGGCTTGCGTGGAACTCTCTTCCCTCTGAGTCAGCCTGGCTCCAGTTTGACTCCAGTTTAAAGGAAAATATGGTCCTTCCCATCTCTGGCTCTCTCTCCTTCTCAGGTCACCACCCTAAACATTTGGAGATAGAGTCTAGGAATGGAGTGAGCTGCTCTCACCTCTAGCAACATGTGGATATGGGCCTTGATATTCATGGAGTCCTTGGTGAGGTTGTCGCTGAGCCTGGAGAAAAGAAACAAGAAAGGTGAAGTGGGCCCCACTTACGATCAGGAGGATGATGCTTCTTCATCACTTCAAGAACTAACTACATTCTGTATGACTTCCACACGGTAGGTGGTAGAACATCCTACTACCTGGCCTGCTCCTATGCAGAGATGCCTGGCTACCATCTGGACTGCACTGATTCAGAGACATTTATTGAGTGCCTACTCTACACCAGGTCGTTTTAGGTACTGGGAGATAGCAGCAAACACAGCAAACAAAAATCTTGGCCTTGTGGAACTCAAATTCTCATTATGGGGGACAAATGATGGGAATAAAATATGGAATATGTTAGATGGTTATAAGTACAATGGAAAAATTAGATGTTAAGAGAGGATAACGAGTGCAGGAGTGGGGGCTGTAATTCTAATTAGAGTGCTTAGGGATCGCTTCACGGAGAAGCATGTTTGAGTAAAGACTTAAAATGAAGAAGCGAATTGTGTGGCTAGATGGAGGATGAGTGTTCAATACACAAGGGGCAGCAAATGCAGAGGCTCTGAGGTGGGAGTGCACCTGGCATGTCTGAGGTACAGCAGAGAGGCCAGCAGGACTGGAGAAGGATCAGTGAAGGGGGGGTTGGAGAAGGTGAGGTCACAGAGGTAAGCAGGGGAGAAAGATAATCTAAGACCTACCAGGCCATGGTAAGGACTCTGGCTTTTATTCTAAGTGAGATGGGAGCCAGAGGAGGATTGTGATCAGAGAAGGGATGTGAAATGACTAGGGTTTAAGAGGATCCATCTGGCTGCTGTGTGGAGAACTAACTGGGGATAAGGACAGCTAGTGTGGAAGAGGAAGTCCAGTGAGGAGGCAGTCCAGGTGAGAAAGGCAGACTCAGACCACAGTGGCAGTAGTTGAGGTGATGAGAAATGACTAGATTTGGGATATATTTTGAAGGTAAAGTCAACAGGATTTACCAAAGGAGGGTGTTGGGTATGAGAGAACTCAAGGAAGACACCAAGGCCTAAGTGACTGGGAAGCTGGAGTTGGCTGAAACCATGCCAGCTCTGGGCTGTTGAGTTACATAAAAGAAAAAAAGTGGAAGTATCAGTTGCTCAGTCATGTCCGACTCTTTGCAACTGCATGGACTGGGGCTCACCAGGCTCCTCTGTCCATGGAATTCTCCAGGCAAGAATCCTGGAGTGGGTTGCCATTTACGTGAACCAGTCACTTTTTTCTCTCTATGCCAACTGGGACCAGTCTCACCCAAAGAATCAAGGAAGGCTTTTGAAGAATGAATAAAACAGTAGGATAGTCTTTTCCACAAAAAGTCCAAAAGGCAGGAAAGAGCTTTTTAAGGAGTAGTCAGGAGGCCAGAGTGTTAGAAACTAAGTGAATGGTGGAAGAAAAGTGGCACAAGTTAGGATCCAAGAGGTTGGTAGGGGACAGATCATATAATCTTGATAGTATGAGAGGAATATGGATTTTATTGTGTTGAGCTATCTGTCAATGTAAGAGTCAGTTTCAGGGAAATGAAATACTGTTAAGAAAAGCAGAAGGCAACAACAAAGGATATTAAATTGGGGAAAAATAGTATGAACCCATTTATATATCACTATCTCTCAAAGTTATATTTTCTTTTTTTTTTCAAAGTTGTATTTTCAGTCTAGCCCTCTCTCCTGAGTTCCAGCTTTGGGAGTTTTAACTACATCTTCAGAAAACTTCCTTCAATGTTTAATGATCACCTCACACTTAACAGGTCCCAGACTGAACTCCTGATTTTCCCCTCCAAATCTGCTCTCCCCTTATCTTCTCCATCTCACAAAAGGGCAATTCCATCCTTTGCTCAGCCGAAAACCTGGACTCCTTTTTCTCACACCCCACTTCCAATCAAGCATTCTATTTATAATTGCAACTGCTCCATCCCAGGCAATGTTTCTAGTCTCCAATCCTTGCTGTTTGCTGCACCACTGTCAACCTGTGACATACTACATCCTTTACTTATTTGTTTATTGTTTGTCTCCCCTGAATAGAATGTAAGCTGCGTGGGCAGAGATTTGGTCAGCTCTGCTCCCCCCTGTATTCACAGGAACCAAAAAGTATGTGGGACATAGTATACACTCAGTGTATAAGCTTAGTCTATGAAAGGTTTCAGCACTTAAAGGAGAAAAGTATAAAGTTCACCAAATGCTAGTTGTAAAAGGGATATGTTTAATTTATTGCTACTGATTTAATATGTAAGGCTGTGTTAATAGTCAAATAGTTATTCTGTTTTTTCTGTAATCATGTCTACTTATGGGTGTGGATGTGTACTCCTTTCTGTGTTATCAGGAAGAATATATACAGAGACCTGATCTTTCCACTCCCCAAACAGAGAAATAGACTAAAAACAGGAAGTACTGATAGGCCATTTTGGTTACATAAAATAACCTGAAGGAAAGTTATTTAAAGTGTTTCTCAAATAACCACACATTTTAAAGAAGAGAATGAGCTCCACAGACTCAAATCTTCATCTCCTAGAAAGATTCAATTACTAGGGAGTCCTACTAATTATAATAAAGTAATAAGAGATTCATGGGCTTCCCAGATAGCGCTAGTGGTAAAGAACCCGCCTGCCAATGTAGGAGATGTAAGAGATGTGGGTTCAATCCCTGGGTCGGGACGATCACCTGGAGGAGGGCATGGCAACCCACTCTGGTATTCTTGCCTGGTGAATTCCATGGATAGAGGAGCCTGGCGGGCTACAGTCTATGGGGTTGCAGAGTCGGACACAAATGAAGTGACTTAGCACAGTAAGGAATTCACATTTCTCATCACACTAATAGACCAGATCAATAAATCAGAAAGACCAAACAGGGGGCAGGCAAAGACAAATACCTCATTCTGGGGAAAGACATCAAGTCTCAAAAAATTAAAACCTATTTGAAAGGCTCAGGAATCCAGTGACATAACAAGGAAGGCTTTGTCATTAAGAAAAAAAAAAACAGACTTTTTTTTCTAAATGGCTACTGGTTCAGAATTATACTGGCCTATTAAAGCAGGCCCCTCAACCAAACTATTCACCAACTGATCTTATCACTAAGATTTAGAAATCTCCACAGGTCTGAGGCTTATTTGAGTTTATGAACACTGAAACCTCGAAAAGGTCTGAAAAGAGAAGAATTACTGAAACCTAAGGTAGGCAGCTCTGGAAGAAATGAATAAGATATAAAGGGAAATATATCCTATAAGGTAGAATTTTAGATCAGTAGTATTCACACTTGTGAGATGTTGTTAATCTAAGTGTATTTGCTCAGCGTTCCCTCACTCACTCCATCTGAGTGACTGAATGCTCACCATTCTCAGCAGTTCCTGAAACATGGCAGGCACACTGGTCCCCTTGCCAGGAATGCTCTTCCCTAGAGAGCCCTATGGTTTGTTTACTCAACCAAGTAACTCAAATGTTGCATCCTCTGGAAGGCCTTCCCTAGCCACATTTCAGAAGTCTCTCCATAATCACAATTCCCTTCCCTACATAGAACCTTACACTCAGTCAGAGTTCATCCTTTATCCCCACGCTACCTCCATCACCAACAGAGATCTACCAATACTTCAATCCCCACTTAAATCTATTTCTAGCATACGCTTTGAAATTCATTCAACAAACACAGGGTGCCTCCTATATGCTATGTGCTATTCTAGTGACAGGGTGCCTCCTATATGCTATGTGCTATTCTAGTGACTTGAGATGTAGAGAAAATCTCTCCCTTTGAAAAGCTTATATCCTAATGGGAGCAGGCAATGAACATTATAAAAAAGTAAATCACACAGTAAACATTAGGTGGTCATAAGTGCTAGGGAAAAAAGAAAAAGTAGAACAAGGGAGGGGAATCAGGAGTGCCAAGGGTTGCAATTTTCAATTTAGGTTATAGGAAGTGACATTTAAGCAAGACTTCAAGTGAAATGAGGAGAAAGAAAGCCATGCAGGTATCAGGGGGAAAGTGCTATAGGCAGACAGAGAACAGTTACTGCAATTGTGCTGAGGCGTGATCACTCTGTGGGCATTTAAAGAGCCTGTGAAGGTTAGTGTGATGAGAGCACAGTGAATGAGCAGGAAAATTAGGAAGAGGTGAAGTCAGAGGTAACTTGTTTTACTGTTACTGATTTACAGGCTGAGACCTCCAGGATCTGGTCAAAACTGTGCTGATGTGTAACAGTTATAGCCCTTCTAGAATGCAAGTTTTCAAGGAATCCTTCTGTCTTGCTCATGCTGCCTCCCCAACATCAAGCACAGAGCCTGGCATACAGCAAATGCCCAATAAATTTTTGTGTGAGTGAACAATACAGAGACCATTTATTGAGTACTTATTATGTGCTACACCTGGGGCTAAGCTTTGCATTACCCCTAGAGAGAGGGGTAAGTGGTTCCTAGGTACCATCCCAGGTAGCCAGGGTGAAAGGGGGAAGAAGGATGTTACAAATGGTGGTGTTTTAGACAATATCCTCATGCAATGGACTTACTCTGTGAGGAGATTGCTCTTACGATCAATGAACTTGAGAGCTTCTGCCAGTGTCAACTCCAGGAAAAAACCATATCCAAGGGCCACATAGATTCGTGAAGTATCCGGACTAAGGAAACAGTGGTGATAGGAAGTGGAGAAGTCCTTATCACTGTTTAGCATACCACACAGTTTAATATTTTTTTTTACTCCCCACCCCCCACCTTCCCCAAACTGAAGGTCAGGATGGGCAGAGAATTTGTCCTATTTTATTTACTGTCACATCTTCAGCACCAAGCAGTGTCTGGTTCATGGCAAATACTAACAAAAATATTTGTTGAATGAAGGAAAAGGGAAGCTGAACCCTGTGGGCTCAGAGGGGCAGGCAGACACTCACACCACTGTGTCAACGAAGAAGTTACAGCCCAAATCCACCTGCATATATAACTCCGAGTGATTAGCTTCCTGTGGGGCCAGGGAAAAAGAGGTAGGGATGAGTGGTCAACTTTTAGGTCAGGTGACAGGTTTTGGTCTTGGGTATCTCCTCTCTTCCCCCTCCTTTGCTCACAAAAAGACAGTACCTAACCCTGGCATCTTTACCTGGAGTTGCTCAATGACATTTCTCAGTTGAAGGTATTTGGCCAGCTGCTCATATACCTTGTCACGATGGTCCAGGACCTTTCTGATGGGACATGACAAGAGCAAAATGGTGACCAAGAGGAAACCCTGTCCTTCTTGTAATATCTCACATCATGACCCCCTGAGACTCTCCTGTCACCAGGGTCTAAACAGGAATTTTAGTGCTGAAGACAAGGTTTGGACTCTGGGTCAGATTGCTTCGGTTTGAATCCAGGCTTTCCATTTTACTAGCTGTGTGACTTTGGCAAGTGAGTAACCTCTTTGGAATTCAATTTCCCCATCTTTAAAATAGGAATGAGGAGTATTACTTCATAGAGTCATTAGGAGGATTAAATGAGTATTTACTATAAGGCATTTAGAATAGTGCCCAGCAAACAAAGTTCTCTATATGCGTTAGCTCTTATTTATGAGTATTATTATTACACTCTACTCCCAATGCCTCCCTCCAATCAGAATATGCCATTCTCACCCTAGATAAAAATCCTCCGTCTCTTTTAGGATGCTTATAATCCTAGACCTGAACACTCTCCTTCCTGCTCAGATTAATAATGATAGTAATAATTTTTTATACTCACTGAGCCTCTAGTATCCAAGTTAAACCCTTTACAAGGACTGAATACACTGAAAACCCAAACCCACCGCCATGAGGAAGGTTGCATTAACTTCCCCGTTTCACAGATGAGGTAACTGAGGCACAGAAAGTGGAGGCGAAGTACGTGTTCACACGGAAAGCAAAGTGCTCAAGCCAGGATTTGAACCTGAAAACTACAGCTTCAGAACTCTAATTCTTAACCCTTTAGAGGCATCGGAAGCCGCGCATGCGCGGACACAGGCTCCATTAAACCACCATGTCTCCCTCCTCACCCCACGCTGCACCCCGGATATCACCCCTCCTTCCTCCTCGAATGGCGCACGGGGCCGGGCTCTGAACGCCTCACCCACCAATCAGAAGGCTAGGCCCTGACTTCGAACGCCCCGCTCACCACGTGGACCGCTCCAAGCGCTCCGCCCCCCCGTTCTGTCACTTACTGCAAGTCCCGCTGCAGCACGTCAGAGATGAAAGCCTCATAGCGCAGCACTTTCTCCGCCGTTGCCTCCACCGCCCGCCGTTTAGGGGGCGTCGCCATGATGGGCTCCTGAGGAATGGGTAGGGAGAAGACCACGTTGAAGACCACGTTGAAGACCACTGGTCTCAGTTTGGTCTCAAGCATAGTACAACTGCACCTTTTCAGCGTTGGGAGTTGGGTCGTCCGGCTTATGCCGAGGGTTCAGCCTTCCGCCCCTCCCAGCTCTGGGACCCCATCACACAGGGACACCCAAGTACAGCCGTTACCTGAGAGCCGCCGGCAAAAAGAACTGTTAGTAAAAACCGTGGCTTCCGGGTGGCGCGGGTAAATGACGTACGACGGGGGCGCTGGCCAACCAAATAATCAGGTGGGGTGAGGCGGTCCTGAACGGGAAAAAACGCCGGAGAGAAGGAAAGGGCGGGGCTTTACGAAAGCCGCTGATTACGGAAGGCTACAGAGCGTGCGAACCTGGACTGCGCAACAAGCCTATGGGGATAGTGCACTGTTGCTGGGGGTGGGGTTTATGGGATTTGGCGGGTTCCGGAGGAGGCGGGACACACAGAGCGAGTAGAGAGTTTGGTATTTGAAAGTCCAGCGCTTCAGAAGCAGTCGGGCAAGAAAAGATTTTGAATTTGGTCTGTAAAAAGGAAAGTACATCCTTGCATCGCCCTGGATTTTGATTTTTCACAAGGGAAGCTTGGGTTTGACTTCCAATAATGGAAATAAATGTGAGCATTAAAAAAACGTTTTGAAAAGGAGACAAATTTTCTGACATGCACCTTTGACGACTCCAGCTCTGTAGCCCGCAGTCCATGACTGGGGTTCAAGCAGAGGTTGATAACGCACCGTGTCTAATCACGTCATTTAACTGGGGCGTCAAATGGAGGGTTGCTGAAGTCCTCTGCCCAAGATAGGTTATCTTGTAGTTAGAAAGAGTTCCTATGTTTTTATTTAAATGTGTAAACTTTTTATTTATTTTTATGTGCTCAAATTACCGAATGGATTTATTTCCTATGTTAGATTTTCAAATAATAGCATCTAATTCAGTTAAGTCCAGGCCTGAAGGAGAACTCCAATGCTGGATCCCCAAATGATACTCCCGCCTGCAGGCCCTAGAGCGCCCACCGTATCAGGGAAGTCTTCCCAGATAATTTGTGGGTTTGCTGTCTAAAACCAAGCATTGTTTCAAATGCTCAAAACCTGAGTAAGTCAAACTTTTCTTTACCCTTAGAACAATATGATTGCAAGGAAAACTTTATGAGTTAAGAAAATTATTTTTGGTAAATCATCTCATGTTACATATAGTTACAATTATATTTAGTTTGATCAAAAGTGACAGTAGGTAGGTAGACAAATATTATCGAGTTAGTGTATACAATTTTCCTGTGGAAAAAAGGGTGTTACATTTATTATCTTTATTTAACATGGAGAGCACAGAGTTCTGATGAGCTGGAGATGGGTTTGTGCAAGTTTATTAGCTTACATTTTACAAAAACATTTTTTATTATGGAGTCCATCTTTTTTTAAAACTTTTTTTCTTTTTCAAAACGTTTTCAACTTTGTGTTAAAATTTCAAACCTACACGAAAGTTGGCACTGAATGCCCATATAGCCTTTACTTAGATTCACCAAATGTTAATATTTGACAGCATTTGCTTTCTCTCATTTCAGACCATCCAATAATTGTTGATATGGCTGCATAGCATTCCATCTTTTGGATGACCTCAGATTTTTGAGCCAGCCTTCTGTTCCTCGATGTTTGGATGTGTCCAGTTTTTTTCATTGTTATAATCCAGAATAAGATAACAGTCTTTGTTTTCAAAATTTTGTGTGCAACCAGGTTTGTTTTCTTGTGACAAACTTCTAGAACTTAATTTATTGATCTAAGGGAGATAATTGCATTGTAAAGCAAGTGTTAAGTGACGATTGTATATCTACTTCCAATAACAAACTTCCTCATCCAAGTTTTACATCAAGGTCAGCACACTGGCTCACTGTTTGCTGACCCTTGTTTTACTACTGTCTGCAAGCTAAGAATACTATTTCCATCTTTTAGAGGCTTGAAAAAAAGTAGAGTATTTTGTGACATATGTGAAGGAAAGTTACATGGCTCAAAATAGCCTGGAGTTAAAACTCCCCTCCGGGTCCTCCCCACCATTCTATGCAAAACAAAGAACTCTCTCACCTGAAAAACACAATAGACATTAAGGTTGATTACGCGCAGGTCCCAGCCTCTGGCCAATCTCCAGAATTCCTTGCCCCAGCCATTTAAGAGATAACCTAACCGAAGCTGGTGGAGTTACTTCCAGCTGGGGATTCCTGGGCCCCCTCCACCTCCATTCCAGCTAATTAATCCTCCCCACTTCCCTAGTTTTGGGAACCTGAGCCCTGAAGGGGCCCAAGAAGTCAAGAGCCTTGAGAAATGCACAGTGCAAATATATTGACTTTATTTGTCTCCGTTTGGGAGCCTCACAGACATATCTAGGTAAAAAGATTGTTAAATAAATGCCATGAGCCATCGCAAAAAAAAAAAAAAGAGAGAGATAACTAATCCGAACAACCTTGGAGAACAGGCCCCTTAAGACAGTAGATTTCCACATATATGCCTATATATACTCACTCTTTTCTTGGGTTAGTTAGTGCAGCAGCTCACTAATCTGACTGCTGCCCCTTCTTGTCTCATTAAAGGTGATCTGTTCCTGTAAAGTACTGGTCTTGTTCTTTCTCCGGACCTCACTTTCTCTAATTCCCTTACCCTACAATATAAAAATTATATGAAATTCAAATTTAAGTGTCCAATAATAAAATTTTAAACATAGCCACACTCATTCACTTACTCTGATGAAAGAAATTTTCACATATTGAGGTATGGGGAAGTCATTCTGGCTAATACATGAGTTAACTTGAATTTTATGGTAACTAAAACAGCTTGTTTGTGGCCTATCAAATTTACATTGTACATCTGCTTTAATTATTAAAGAAAAGGACACACTGACCAGAAGTGAAGAAAATGCAAATAAGATAAATGTTAAATGCCTCCTTTTCTGGATGCCAATGCTGGTACTCCTTCAATGATAAGGCTCCCTTCCCTGGTGCCAAGGCCATTACTGACTTGCTGTGTACATGCTGATCTGTTTTTTTTTAAACTTTGAAGGAATGTATCCCTGACATGTTTGATGTTCTTTATTCTGACAAGATATAAAACTGCCCTGAAAATCAAGCGTCTCCAGAGAAGTTCCTCACAGTTCTCTAAGAGGCTGTCTTCTGGGCTGCAGTGCTCAGTTTGGCTCAGTTTTACTCTTTCCTATTCCTATTCATGGGCTTCCCAGGTAGCTCTACTGGTAAAGAACCTGCCTACTAATGCAGGAGACATAAGAGACTCAGGTTCTATCTCTAGGTTGGGAAGATCCCCTGGAGGAGGAAATGGCAACCCACTCCAGTATACTTGCCTGGAGAATCCCATGGACAGAGGAGCCTGGCGGGCTACAGCCCATAGGGTCACAAGGAGTCAGACACAACTGAAGTGACTTAGCATACAAACTGTAATTATTACATTATAATTTCAATTTGTCGTCACTACAATGGCAGAGTTGAGTAATTGCCAAAGAAACCATATGGCCTGAAAATTCTAAAGTATATACTCTCTGGCCCATTCCAGAAAAAAATTTCCAACCCTAGCTTTACATAATCATATCAGTTATATCAATCATATCAATACATAGGTTGGACCTATAAGCAACGTGGGCCTCCTTGGCTTTAACTTGCAACCTGTTACCTAGCCTACGGGTGGGTGTTTTCAGGCTTATGGGAGATATGACGCTCTCATATCTCTATTTTCTCTTCCTCCCATCCAGCCTTCTATCCCGTAACCTCCCACAGGTCTGACTTAGAGATCTCTGCCTTTGCCTTTACGCAAGAGCAAGAAGAGACTGAAACCCAGATGAGTTATAGTGCAGTTGTTCATTCACCACCTACTTTATTTTCCACTGGATATTTGGAACATGACAAAAATACATCCCATTAAATTGAAAAGTAAAGGTAGGGTCACAGAAAACATAAAGCAAGCAAAATATTAACATCAGAGAAGATTGGGACATAGGTATGAAATTCACATCTATGTGTAGCTGTGAATTTGTCTCTGATTTTCTTACAGCTGTAGCAAAAAGGGTCAGTTATGTAGATGAAAATAATCAATAAATAATCTATAACAGGAATAGAAAAAAGTTTTCTTTGAGCCAAATTGAGGATGATAGCCTGGAAGGCAATCTCTCTCAGCTCAGAAGAACTGCTCTGGAGCAGCATGGTTTTCAGCCCAGTTTTATATCTTGTCAGAACAAAGAATATCAAACAAGTCTGGGATACTTTCTTCAAAGTTTGTGAACAATAAAGAGATCAGCATGTATAGAGCAAGTCTGTATGTTCTTGGCACCTGGGAAGGGAGTCTTATCATTGAAGGAGTACCAGCACTGGCATCCCAGGAAGGGAGGCTTTATCTTATCTGGAGATTCTTTACTTCTGGTCAATGTGCCCTTTTCTTTAATAATTGAAGCAGACGTACAATGTAAGTTTTATAGGCCACAAACAAGCTGTGTTAGTTAGCCTAAAATTCAAGTTAACTTATGTATAAACCAGAATGACTTCTCTATACCTCAGTATGTGAAAGTTTCTTTCATTGGTTATGTGATTTGTATTTGTTGTTTTTGTTGTTCCCTCATTGTTTATGAGGGAAAATAGTACCAACTTATCAGAAGGAAATATTTCATGGCACTCAGCAGGAAACTATAAAATGAAAACTCTCCTTCATTTCCTACACTAAAATGAATTCCAGATGGGTTAAAGATTTAAATGTAAAAATAAAACTATAAGCATGCTAGAAGAAAAAAATGAAAGAATTTTTTTATTACTTTCTTAGAGTGAAGTCCTTTCTAATCATAACAAAATTATCAGGTCATGAGAGAATATATTGGTACATTGTGTACATAAAATTAACATATGCAGTTCAGTTCAGTCGCTCAGTTGTGTCCAACTCTTTGCGACCCCATGAACCACAGCACTCCAGGC